CACAGAATACATAATAACTCAGTTGTCAAAGTACTAATAACTCAGCCACAAAGTACCAAAAACCCAGCCACCATGCCACCATATAAACACTATCTCAGCCATCAAATAACTAATATCAAGAAACCCAGCCACTATGTACATACTAACTCAACCATCAAAACTAATACCAAGAGGCTGAGATATTGTTTATATGGTGGCCGGGTTTTTGGTGTTCATAAAACAACTAATAACTCAGCCATAAAATAACTAATAACTCAGACACTTTATACATGCTAACTGAGCCATCAAATAGTTAATACCAAAAACCCCAGCCACTTAAGTACATAAGTACTTATAACCCAGCCAACAAATAAATAATAAATCAGTTGACACCTTACCTCGCCATGTTTTCTAATCTCCTCAGTAATGACAATATCAAAACTTGAACGTGTACGCTTTTCACCCCATCGGAAAAGTGGAACTTCTTGCTCATTGACCACTCTCCCAAAACGCTCTCCAAAACAAATGACAGATTCATACGCCCAAACCAACAACACGTCCTTCAGACCGCTTATGGTGTATGTCATTCCTTGTGGATTCAACATCTTAATAGAGTCAACAAGAACTTCATATGCAGTCCTCCCCCATGGATACGTCATCATGGCTTCATCGTCGAATACTCTTTTTGCACTTTCAAACGGTATCCTAGAATTATGATGCAAAGCATAAAGTCCCATGGCTTGAAGAAGTAACAGCTCTAACCATTTACGCTTTTCAAAACTCCAGGCCGGACATACCTCTAATGCTGCCCTCAGTTCATCTAACTTGGGTCCCATCCCAAGCGGTAGATTCAACTCCTCCCAAAACGCTTTGTATTGGTCATGTTCAAAACTTTCTGTTGGCACTGGATTTGTGTTTAACCCAGTGGTCTCACCAAATTCAAGTAAGCTAAACCTGATAGGTTCATCACCAACTAGACTCCAAATCTCCTTCAAGTATACTCGAAGTTGTCGACATAGTAGATAGTGGACAGTCATACCAGACCACACGCTTTTGCGTTCAGATAGCTTCACAATAATTCCAAGAGGACCCTGCCTCATGTGATCCCACACATCCCGTCCTATTGCTTCTCTGACGTTAGGGAAATCTCCCATCTGCAAATTGTGATTAATCTCTTTATTTTCTAGATTATAAGCCCCTTCAGCGTAAAGTCGTGGAGGATAATCTCGTGCTTGATCTTCAGAAATAGCCATCTGATCCTAAAACACATATATAGATAAGTCAGCCGCAATAGAAACAAAACTCAGCAACAACATAATAAATAACCCAGCCACCATATCAATAACTCAGCCAAAACATAATCAATAACTCAGCCAAATCATAAATAATAAATAACTCAGCCACAACATAATATATAACTCAGCCACAGTAATCAATAACTCNCCAGCCACCATATCAATAACTCAGCCAAAACATAATCAATAACTCAGCCAAATCATAAATAATAAATAACTCAGCCACAACATAATATATAACTCAGCCACAGTAATCAATAACTCAGCCAAAACATAATCAATAACTCAGTCGGATCATAATCAATAACTCAGCCACTTCATAAATCAAACTCAACTCAGCCACACTAAACAATAACTCAGTAACAACATAATCTATAACTCAGACACGACGTAAATCAAACTCAGGCACAACATACCAGAGAAGATGAGAAGATGATGTCGTAGATACGATTACGTCAAAACTTTTGCGGAGAAGAGGATGTCGACGAAGATGATATCGGAGACGGTTAGGGTTTAACGAGGTCGACGAAGATGATTTAAGATATCGGAAATACTGTTTGAAACGAGAGTATTAGTTGTGACAAAGATGATTTCGGGATTTCGTGATTTCGTAATCGGTTAGGGTTTAACGAGAGTTGTGACGGAGAAGAATGTGACATTAAGACTTTTTTTTTGTTTACCGGAGATATGGGACTGTTGATTTTTCAGTGTAACTGATGACACAAATTAGTTAGTGACGTGGATTGTCAAATTATGATGTGGATTTAATAATTAAAATTTGTATCAATAGTAACAAAATTAAACAAGGGTGTTTATTGTAATTTACTAGGAGTCTAAAAACATTTTAGTAATTTTTAGAAAATATATACTATTCTAGTCATATACAAGGTTTTGTGTATCATTCTAGTAATTTCTCTTATTTCAGTTTGTTACCTTTCTTTGTTGTTTATGCTTAATATTACCCGAAAACTCTGTTCTTGGTTATTTTCAAATATTTTGGATATTTATTATTCGAAATAACCGAACCCGGAACCGAAACTAAGTAAGAATCGAATTCTTTTGGGTATTTTTTGGTTCCTAATTTTACTATCCGAACCGAACCGAACCCGAAACTATCCAACCGAACCGAACCAAAAATATGTTAAGTAGTAAATGGATCCTTTAACTCCCTATCCGAATTACCCAAAACCCGAAATGCCCGAACCGAACCGATATCTGAAATGTCCAGGCGTTCAAACCATTCGCGGCTGAGTATATAAGACAACGACCATCTCAGATTCTCGAGCTTTTCTAATTTTAGTTTTCTTTAAAATTGTCTTTCTACATTTAGCATAAATCCATATAAACGAAGAGAAAGGCAGATTTTAACGCATAACCTCCAAGAAAATATATACTAAAACTGGTATAAATACATCAACAATCGCAAAGGTTTTAAAGGAACAAAAAGCAACAAGAAGAGTCTAACAATTTCAAAAAATAAAAATAAACACAAAAATTAAATAAAAATGAAACTTTTCATAATTGCTCTTATTGTTTTAGGGGTTTGTATTGAAGATACGTTTGGTAAAAACTCATTTATGATCGTAAACAAGTTTCAAAAGCCTACAAAGCTCAGTGTCCATTGCTGGTCATCAAAGGACCAGTTAGGGAATTTTCTCTTAATGAATGGGGAAGAAAAACACTGGAGATTTGACGATGAGTTTTTTCATGAGACAGTCTTTCACTGTGAGTTAAAGCATGGATATCACTTCATGCATTTTCAAAACTTCGTCGCTTATAGGTCAAAATGGAATGGTTCACTCAAGAATAAATCAAACGCGACATGGTTTGCCGCAGAGAAAGGTCTCTACAAAATATGGGAACATAGGGCTCCTGAATTTATGTATCATTGGTTATAAACCAGTTCTCTAATATTTAACCAGTTACAACTGATGATTGGTTCATTTTATGTTTAAAATTATTGGATAGATTTCAGTACGCACAATCTAGACTTATGTATATATAATAATATTCGAGACTCAAAAGATGTATTGTTGATTTTAGTTGGTCTGACTCTGCACTATATGTAATATTATTTAAATTTATTAACTCAAAATAATAATCTGGGTTTATTAATTGTTTTAATGATTATTTATTGGTTTTACAATGAGTTTATTTAATTTGAAATCATATATGCAATATATTTATTTTTGCTGACATTACAATGGAATATCAATTTAATGTATTTAATCATTCTATTATGTATATAATCAACGAAGCTTGTTCTTGAATTGACAAAAGAAATTATTCAATTTTATCTATTATCACACATTTACGTAAATAAGAAAAAATTCTTGGAAAAATTATGATATTGCACAAAATATTAAGTACGGAGAGGAACATTATAGATTTTTGGTTAAGGGGTATATTATAAACAAATATAAATAACTTTTTGAGAGAATTTGCAATATCAGTATTGTACTATATTAAAATGGGAATACTAGCAAAAGAGAAGGTGTCCACGTGAACAAAAATATTCGACGAATAAAAACATTCCGTTTTACCACATCACAGAGCTGCTCCATTTGGACTTCGAAAACATAAACCCTTTGTTTATTTTAGGGTGAATTAGCTAAATACCTTGTAGATACTGAGATAGATAGAGGGGCTTAATGTGATCTTTCAGTAACTGGCAATCTCTGGTGATGCAATGAAAGAGACGAAACATCTCGATTGAAAATAGTAATCGCAAAGACCTATAAAAATAGTAATCGCAAAAAGTGGTAAGTGTGGAGGAGAGAGATAGAGGGAAATAGGGTATATAGTTAATTTGCTGGTTTTGTGTGTATACACAGTGCATATTCAGAAGCTGCGTTTTATTTTGCTAGAGTTGCAGAAGATTTATCCGTCGCCTCTCCATAGTTCTCTGCGATTACTATTTTCAGTCGAGATGTTTCGTCTCTTTCATCGCATCACCAAAGATTTCCAGTTACTGAAAGATCACATTAAGCCCCTACATTGATTGTAAATTCAACCTAGGTTTCCAATCAGATATCTGCAACAGAAAATGGCTTTGGCTGGTTGTATCAGATCCGAGATCTCCTTCTTCAAGACCATCGCCGTCTCAGATTCCGTCTCCTCTGCAAGATCTTTTCCGTGTGGACGCCTGCTTATCCCTGCGGTAAATCATTCTCTTCAATAATCAAATCTCAAATCCAATCGACTTATTTTTTACTGTGGGAGTCGGTTTTTACAATATCTGTCGATCCGATACGATTCATTGACTAGCTTGATAGCACGAGAGGATGAAATTAGTGTATATTTGCATTTACATTGTTAAGGCTGTCTATGATTTTGAAGTTCCTAATTGTATATGCTATGGTCCAGAGAATGTTATCAATTAATCTTTACTTTTGATTTTGTTTTCGTCGCAGTTAAGAGATTATAGAACAACTTTAGCTCAGAAAAATGTTAAGGCACACACACTTGCATATTCTCAATTTTTCCTAGCTAAGGATGTTTGCATCTATCAGAGTCTTTCATATATGTGAGAATCGTGAAATGGCTTGGATTGTTTTTGGATCGATGGATAAGCTGGATTTATATTTGTTGTGGTTTTTAATACATTGTGTAATGTTGTTATCAGGTGCATGTGGCATTAGTTGGTGAAAATGGGAACTTTGCTTCACGGCTGTACATTGCAGCTGTGAAAATGAATTCCTTGGAAAAGATTGAGTCTGATCTCTCTGAGCTGGTTGAGGCAATAAAGACCAGCCCTACTTTCTCACAGTTTACAAAGGATCCCTTAGTTCCTAGAGAGACAAGATTGGCTGCTATTGTGGATGTTTGTGAGAAAGCAAAGTTTGTTGAACCCACCAAGAACTTCCTCTATATGTCAAATTGAGTTTTTCAATGATTTTGTTATTTTGTTTATTGTGAGTGACCAAACATTATTTGGTTTTTCTTTTTTTAAATAGCTTTGTTAGCTGAGAATGGGAAGCTGAAGAACCTGGACATGATTGTGAAAAAAGTTAATGCAGCTGACAATAGCACATAGGGGAAACGTCAAAGTCTTGGTTACCACAGTCATGGTAAACTATAGGTTTAATACTGTTATCTTTTAAGAAACGATAACAAATAGTGCTCTGTTAAAAAAATAGACTTTTGGTAATTATTATTACAGATTTAATTACTGGTCACAAAAATCATTGGTTCTTGCTTACTTTTAATTTATATGTTTTAATATGAATGAGTCTCTTGCTCTGTATAAAGACAGACTTTTGGGGTAATTATATGTGCAGTTGCAACAATGGAGAAGGCACAGACCGCACTGGAGTTGGTTGAGGGATAACAAGAACAAGTTTAATCTCGTGATCAGGGATGTTGACATGCCAGACATGGATGGTTTCAAGCTGCTTGACCTTCTTAGTCTTGAAATGGACTTACCTGTCAGTAGTATGTTTATGTTTGATTCATTTCATGTTTCCTAAAGGGACATCTTTCCTAAAGAGAATGTTTTGATCTTCTTTTTTTTTTTATAATATTTTGATTTTTTTATTGTTTTTTCCAGTGTTATCTGTGCATAACCATCCCAAGTATCTATGGAAGGATACAAGCACGGTGCCTGCGACTATCTCCTTAAACCAGTTTGAATTGAGGAGCTCAAGAACATATGGCAACATGTGGTGAGGAAAAGCATGTTTAAGAAGATGGAGAGCATTTTGACTAATGGTGAATCCTAAAAACTCTGATCATAAAAACGTGAAAGAAAATAGAAAACGTAAAGATCAGCTTGAAGAGGAAGAAGAAAGAGGAAATGAAAACGATGATACAACGGCTCAAAAGAAGCCTCATGTTATTTGGAGTTTTGGATGCGAGAGGCAATACATGTTCCTAGCAGCTGTTAATCATGTGGCCATTGAGAGTAAAGTGTCATGATCTCTCATATACTACACCAGGTCTTCAAGAATTCATAGCCGACTATAACACAGACCACAAAACTTTATCTGGTTTTCAAATTAAACACTTATGAGTTCTCCGTTTTGTTGTACTACTTGATACATCCGATATATGAGCTTTAACCTTTAATGACGACACTCAAGAATTCAATTAGATTATTGCAAACACAATCACCCTCCTCTTTCTTACATTTTTAAAGCAATCTAAGAGTCTAAACTAGAATTTAAAGACATCCTTCTCATGATCTTATAGGTCTACAAAATCCTAAGATCGTAAGCAAAAACAAGTTTGTCAACTTATCCCACTACTTTCTGTTGTATGAAGCGCATATCTTGCAAGATGTGCTACACATGCACAAACGTAATCCATAATAAAAAAAAAAAACATACAACACAATAACCCAAAAATATAAACTCATTCTCTCAACTATACAAACAGACATAATAAAAAAAAACAAATTATAACAAATGATTTAAGCAATAGATTCATCTCACAGATATATAAATTCAAGCTTCATATGTACAATAGGGAAACTGAGAATGATATATTTGATTAGATAGGAATTATATACTTTCATTACCTACAACCAACACTGAAAAGATTAATGGATTTACTTAGTTCTATTGGTTTAAGTTTTTAAGGAGAAAAAAAAATTCAGAAAATATTTATACGCGGTTTGGTTCATGTTAATTTCCAAATTATTGATGGTTACGCCACATTTAAGTTATTTTGGTTAAATTACGTTTAATTCATTTTAAATTGTTAGAAGTAAATTATTAATTCATCTTAGTATGAAACTCTAGTAAAATTTTGCTAGAAATGTAATCCTTTATTAATTTATAATAATAAATATTTTCAAATAACATGAGCGAAAGTTCCAACAAATATTTTTTATTAAAAAAAAATCAACAAATGCTAAATATTCCACAAAACATAATTAGTAAAATCTAATATAAACTGAAACAAACATATACTGTATTATAAAACATCATTTGGTGTTACATAATAAATACCAATTCTTATTTATGACATTACTGAAACTATTAATATATTACTTTTAACATTTGATTTCAGTTGATTTAGCTTGGAAGTGGATGTATTAATTTCTTATCGTGAGAAATTTAGTTATTGTAATAATATTAAAATCTGATACTCTTAGAAATATGAAAATAGCAGTCATTTATACTTTATATTTTCTTCAAGTATATCTAACTAAAATAGAAATCAAATAGGAAAATATAAATCATTCATAATTTTAAATTAAAAAATTTGTTCTCTAACAAAAAAAATATTGTTAGTATTTTTTAACTCAAACTAAAAAAATAATAATAAAACTTACAATTTTATATTAGGATAACAACATATTATATTTATTATTTTAATATAAATTAATTTTAAAATATTTTATAAAATTAAAATATATTTCAATAATAATTTTATTGTAAACTCACCCGCCTGCAGGACGGGCCAAAAATGAAAAAAACTCAACATTCTCATCCTTTGGAGTGTTAGTTATGGTAATCACTATCTAGATTTTAAAACTTAATACTATTTTAGTATAACAGAAAATAAGTTTCAAAGGAAAAAAAAATTCAAACAACAAATAATAAATAGAAAATCTAATAAAAGTACTTCACCTAAATTTTCTCACGATTTTTGTCACCCAAACTAATTTGATACCGTTTCAATATCTCAACTAATTAGTTTGCTCATTTTAATATATCTGCTCATTTTACTACCCAACCTATGCTCATTTTAATCAAAAAAATTATATAAAAAAAAAAGAAAATTATAAAAACCTGGGAAAGGAATATTAATCTGAAATTTTCAAAATTAATTTCAAGTTTAGGAACAAACGAACTAAGTTGTTGATAAAATAATAAAAAATAAAAATTATTAAAAAAAATTAAAGCTTCAGAAAGAAAATAAGATAGTAAATGTAAACTACAACTAATATTATAGTTTTGAATATTAACCACAGTTTAAATACTTCATTCCTATAACTTAAAATAAAAATAGAAATGTAAGATTATTTTTGATCAATTTTGAAGTTTTTTAAAATTTTCATTTGAACTTATAAATAATTTGGGTATAAAGTTAGTACAGTTTAAAACCTAAGGATATTAAAATGAATATTTAATTAATATGGCTATGAAATTGGATAATAAAAAAAAATTAGGTAATAAGAACTCTATGATATTTAGTTGATGGATTTTCAAAGACTTTTCTCAATATTAAATTAATAAAAGCACATTTAGTTTATTAAATTAAATATAAACTCAAATAATTCATTGGACATAATAATACAAAGAAAATTTTAAAGAAGTAAAACATTAAAATACATAATCAGCGCTTAGCACGGAGAAAGAATCTAGTAAATATAATAACCACTGAGGATATGAGCTGCATTTGTTGATTGTTTGTTTTTTTGTAGAAAATGTTGATAGTTTGTTACTTTGTAATATTCTTGATATGGAGTGAGTGACAGGGCCGTCTCTAATTATATTAGGGTTTTGTTCAAGAAATGTTAACTATATATTCAATGATGTAATAAAATAATTTTAAAGTTAATATCTTTATATGTACATATTTTACGTTTTTCTTTAAATTATAAACTGTAAATTTAAAAGAAGTGTATAAAAATTTGAGATTTAAATTTATACTTATGTATTTTTTTAAAAAATAGTATTTTTTTTTTTTTAGATTTGAGTCTTGTTTTTGTCAGACGCCCCTGATCTTCACATCATGCATCCATGCTATACTGGAATCCATATATACATTCGATCTGCACATACACACGCCAACATGGGCTTATTTATGATATACGTTTATATTTCTCTTTTATTTTGATATTTATAATTTACTACATATGTAAAGTGAAATTTCTATAGTCTTATGGTGGAGATATTCGATCATTAAGCCCTTTCTCAAAAAAATTAAAATATATATATTTTTAAACATATATATTTATTCAATCATCTTAACAGATTTTGGAAAAAAAATTACCGGTTGAATTGATATCACTAGATAAATAAATAAACTCAGTTAAATCTTGCCAAAACTTTAATATCATTATTAGATTTTTGACCCGTGTTTTTTAGACGCGGATATCATTATTTTTTATTTTATCTACAAATGGATCAATAAATCTTTTGTTTTGATGATATAAAATATCACATAATCAAGATCAAGTTTCGAATATGTGGATATGAAGAAAGTTCTATTTTACAATGTCTCAGACAAAAATTTTCTGTTTATAAATAAATTAAATAATGATTGTATCTAAAGTTTGTATTTGAGCAAGATTGTATATTAAAAATTATATTTTCTATTAAATATTTATAAACATATAAAGTGTCCTAATTTTTTTAGGTCTGTGATTAATTCGTAAAATCATTTAGTTACTAAATTTCAAGATCTAATATCTATACTATTATTTAAGAAGTAAATTTGCTTAGTTGTCATGTTCTCCATAAGTTTAGGTAATTTTATTTATTTATCATATTTTTAATATATATATATATATATATATATATATATATATATATATTATTTATAAATAAAACGAATTTATATGAATTATCTTATTTTCTATAAATTTGTTTATTTGTTATGTTCTCTATAAGTTTAGGTAATTTTATTTAATTATCATATTTTTAATATTTCTGTATATTTTATTAATGTTACAACATTAAAATAAAGGTTTTTGGAACATCCGAGAGTGGGTTTGAAAACTTGTCTTCTTACTTATACATGATAAAAATGGCAAATTCGGGTACAATTATGTGTCTTCAAATCGATGAGTTTGAAAGATTCATGTATGTGTGTCTTATGTTTGGTGCGAACATAAATGGGTTTTCTTTCATGCCCAAGGTTATGGTTGTTGATGATACGTTTTTTTAATGGTAAATACAAAGGGTCGCTTCTCACAACACTAGTTCAGGA